CTTGAATATGGCGAAACGTCGGCGATTTGTAAAAATCGGCCTGCGTTCTTACTTTGTTCAAATCCAGCTATTAAATGGAAGCCTGTATATTCAAGTCAAGCAGTTTCCAGAGTTTCACAGTGAATTCGAATCATTAGAGATAAATTGGAAAAATCTTGGGTGGAAAAAATCACCGAAATAATAGAAAAAGCCATTACCACCATGGGAATTTAAAAAAGTCCCTCAAACACTCAAATACTTAAGTAATTAGAAATAATATTTCTTGAAGTACGCAATTTATAATCGGGCGCCACGAATGAGCTCATCGATCGTTGATAAACTTTGAATGAAACTCAACACTGATAAATATTAGATAGATTTTATTTGACTTTCAAAACATACAAAAACAAGCAACAATGAATACTAACAATATAATACAGATATCGGCTTAGAGGGTGGCAACAGGAAAAAGTCCAGAAGGTCGATTTCTAATTTGTTTCATTTTAGTAGCCCACAAATTAAGGAGCATTTTTTTCTAACTCAATCGAGGATTCATAAATAGAGTACAGACTTTCCATTGATTCACCCTGCATAAGTGAAATTGCACTGAGTAAAACTTTGGTCAAACACATTCTAAAGCTACTAAGATTTGACACGTTCTTTCCTGGTTTTGGCAACATTTATATCACTAAAGAACCACCTCAATTGCTGTGTTTCTCCCTAAGAAAAACCGGGTTAACATTAAAGCAAACCAACTGACTACCGATACTGACCCATGTCCATAATAGCGGACAGCTTTCATTTTAAAGGCGGTGGAGTTTTCCTTGCACTTGTAGGCCAACACCTGCTTTATCCTGCTTACTTCCACCATGGGAAACCTGGCTGCAACATATGCTGAAAATATTCAGGAATAAAAAGTTAATTTCACAGCGGAGTGATTGAAAGAAGCTAAGCAAATAACGGTCAGTTTTGGCGCAGCTTTGTAATAAATTGCTTCTGGAGAAATAGGATGATATGAGACTATGAAGGCTTTCACAAAAGCCCTGAAAACGCTGAATGATGATAAGGAGATTCTCGTGTTGCCAGCTGATAAGGGCAATGCAACTGTGGTCATGTCTGCATTGAACTACGAAGACAAAATTAAAGAACTTTTGACCTCGTCAACGTACAAGAAGTTGACACGGGATCCGACGGCACGGATACTAAGAACAACGAACAAATTAATTAAGGATATGACATTTCCATCCGAGGAGTTG